CCACCCCACCCCTGGAGTCAAACTGTAATTGCCTTGAATAAAATTCTTACACAAATCTTCTAATTCCTTGCATTAACAATAGCTCTAGCAATGGAAACTCAACATTTCTCAAATTATTGCACTTTGCCCCCACAAACATGAAAGTAGCATCATAGCAAAACACTGAGCTAATTCTGGTGCAATTACCTAGTTTAACCACCTGAATAATATAATTATAGTCTTGCTCTCCAAATGTATCAGTCAGTTTGAGAAAAAGGGAACAACACTAATGTTTTTAATAAGCAACTTTCAAGAATAAATCATTTTGCGCAATTGGTTTTGAAGCAAATAATGCTAGTTTATATTAAAAGCAGTCACACATTATGAAGCAGTATCTGTACACAACTGGGTAAGGACAGAATTTGGCTACTTGATACTCTAGCAGAACCTCAGCTCACATGCAGACTAAACTGGCATAACCAAATGGTTAAAAGAATTAGGCACAAACTGGCTTCAGGACATTAGACCTTTCTAACTTACATGGTCTACATATTGTCTGTGGGAAATGCTTTTAATACCATCAGCATCACATTGGCAGCTCTTTTTAGAGCTTACTCCAGATGTTGAATGTCTCAACAGATCACATAATTTAAGGTGCGGTCTAACCAGAACTCAGATTTCCTCACGTTAACAATAACATGATGCTCAGGATAAATTTCTGTAGGGGTGTGCATAAGGTTGTACAGGCAGCCGCGTTGTGTTTGCTTGCCAGAATATTTGAGACCAATTTGAGATAATGCAAGGGGTTTAGAGATTATGTGAAAGGAAGTCTTGCTGTAGTTGTACAGTTTTATGACAGTACCCAGTTTACGGTGTACTGTTTGATCTCCTTGCCCAAGGAAGAACATTCTTGCCTGCTAACAGAAGCCACAAGTGTTCACAAGAAAATTCTGGATTGATGGGCTGTTCTTATGAGGATTAGTTGAGCAGAATGAGCTGGTTTTGTCCAGGGTTTGGAAGAATTCAAGGTGATTTTATTGAATAATGTTTAAGGTTAGAGAGGTTGTTTTATCGTCCTGACTACATGCCATTAGTTTTATTTTGGTCACATATGCAGAGCACTGTATTATCAGCTACATTCCTGATGGATACAGCATCCATTTCTCCTTCCCACGTGTAATGCTTTACACCAGTCATTGCTTTTTGACACCCTTGGAGTTTCAGAAATAGGTGATGGCAGTTCCAACCTGAAAAAATGTCCATCTCAACTCCACAGTCCTTCGCCTCAGTGCCCAAAAATCTAGAGGAGATTCCAGCTTTGCCTACGTCAAATGTATCCACAGCACAGAGTTAGAGAATTCCAAACATACAATCACAAGGTAAGAAATCAATCCTCATTTCAGTCCAAAAGGCAGATGCTTATTTAAAATCTATTACCTCTAGTCTCTCTAGCCATGGGAAAAACAACATGTCAGCACTCTTAAGTTTTTAACTTTTCTGTAAAATTACCTTTCATTCCTGTTAAGCTCTAAAGCAAGCCTGAATTCTTTGCTCAACTGATCCTCATTGAACAGCTCATCAATCCAAAATGCTTTCTCACGGGCACTTGTTGTATCCTCTCTCAGGCAAGAAGGCCAAAACTGTACACTAAACCAGGCATGGTCTCAAATCTACACAGCTACAGCAAACCTTCCACTCTCATATACTTGAACCGTCTTGCATTCTTTCAGATTGGACTCTGATACCCTGCTGAGCAAATACACTAAAATACAAATATACAGCTGGTCATTCAACTTTATGCACACCTCTACTGACAATATTGTACACAGCCCCTGACAACATTAAATGTATCTTACATTGACATCAATCGTACACTAGTCTTGTAGAATCTCATTCCCACTTAGCAGACAAGTGTCACTACCCAGGTTTCACACAGAACTAAGCACGAGTGCCATGCAAATATTGGTGGAGTCATGTTTAACTGGATGAGAAGTTGAGGCAGCTGCACACTCTTAAATCTTTTGCAGATAGGTTTTCAGCTGTTCAATGAAATACTTGGGCATCTAACTGGGTTTCACAATCTACTGAATGCATTTGGCAGAAATTGAGAATATACAAGTCTACCAACAAAGGTGACCACAAGGGCATAGCCACAACTGCATCTCTGGCTCGTGCCTTTGTGATTCCGTTAGATACCTCAGTGCACACTTGGTCAAGCTTCCACTGTAACCTTAAGATCAACCAAAACTCCACTATGGATTTCCTAACTCTTAGCAAGTCCCATTCACCCTTTGCCTGTGCAAGACTTTTAACCTCATTTCAAATAATTTCCATGATTTGCCCCTCAGCATCTTCAGTTTCCTCTAACCCTGGGTTTGGAATTAATTCCCTACACAATTTGGTGCTTATAATTTCCCTTTTTGATTAATCTTTCAGTTGTCTATCGCAATCTCCTTATGTGGGTCAGTACCAAAAATTTCTTTGAACACTGCTGTAAAATGCATTTGGATATTTTTATTGAAGAAAAAGTTGTCACAGCAATAGGTTATCATTGTAACTGTCAGGTTAAACAGCCACCTTTACACATGAAGCCACATCATGTCAGTTTGAGTTTTCAAACTTAAGGCATTTTTCCCCCCAAAATAGTTATTGCTCAACTCGCATTGTTAAAACTTCATGGTGATAAGTTGCCTTCTTAAACAATTTGGTAGTATTATGCTACCATGTGACATAATGACATTGAGGGCAGTTAAGAGTCAAACCACACCTGAATTCTAAATTGGAGAAAGGAGGATAGCAGATTTCCTAAGGAACTAGTTTGAATTTTATGCCAATATGAAAAATGATCATCCCACTTTCAGAAGCGCTTTTCATTAAGAAAGTTTAAGAATGAACAAGCATTTTTCAAACTGTCCACACTTAGTGTATTAGTCCAGTAATAACTGGTATCCAAAAATGTTTAAAGTGAACAGAAAGTTAGATTCCTCCCCTCCTACAAATTTTGGTTCAGAATACAGGATTTTCTAGCATGTTACAAGCTGAATGAGCTAGCTTTAAATTAAGTTTTCTGAGGTTTGATCATCTCATATCTGGATGAAATGAACATAAATTTGGAGGAGAAGTAGGCCACTCGGTCCCTCAACGCTGCACTTCCATTCAATGAAATCAAAACTTTGTGTTTCAAATTTGCCAATTCCATCAATCCCTGATAACCTTTGATTCCCCTGCCTAAGAGGAATCTATCTACCTCTGCCTTCAAAGTACCAAATGACGCTACCTCAACTTCCTGAGGTAGGGGGTTTCAAAGTTGTCCTTGGTGGGCGGTAGAAATCCTTCGGCCTTAATTAAACTTTAGGGCAACGGCCCCTAGTCCTGGACCCACCCACAGGAGTAAACACTTTCCACATCGACTTTGTCAAGACAATTCGGGATCTTATATTTTTCAATCACATCATCCCTTGCTCTTTGAAATTCTTGTGCAAAATGGCCCAGCTCGTTCAATCTTTTCTCACACGTCAACGGCTCAGCGCAGATGTCAATCTTGGAAGCTTCGTCTGAAGCCCTTCCAAGACATTTACATCCGTCCTTAAATTAGGGGACCAAGATGTGATGAAGAACTAGAGTGTCACACCCTTCCCTTTATGTTCGCCAGAAAGGCTGGGATCGCATTAACTTCCCAGATCCCCGCTCCACTGGAACCTGAAGCATCAGCTTGAGAGCCAGCAGTGAGGATGGAAACCCGCACCCACAAAGCTTATTCCACTTTTTTTTTGTTTGAGAAAACACAGCATCATGGTGGGAAATTCACTCCTTGCTCATTCTCACCGAATGCAAATCGAATGTAAATGTTAATACTTAGATGGAGTACATTCTCTAAAGAGAATGGCAGCACTCCCAGATCCAGATGCTGCAGTTTGTATCAGATAGAGACAGAATCCGAGCCCAAAGAAATGAAATGACTAGACCGAACTCAGGAATTCGAGGCTAAGTTCGCGTGTCCCAGCCTTTTCCGTGCACTCCGCACTCCACACTCCCCCCTACCCCAACCCACCGCAATGAACTCACACCATTGCCCTCCCCCCCCCCCCCCCCAAACCCGCACAAAATACACCAGGAACACCCTCCTCTCCCAGAGAGAAACCTCCTTTCAATGTTGAAATTCCTTACTCTGTGTCCAATTATAATCTTCGACTTTCTCATTGTTGACTGTATTCCAAAGGCTTGATCTTCATCGCCTTCCTATCACTAAATGTTCATGTTATCAAGTTACACAGAAGGCTTGAGTTTTAATTGAAAACATTGCTGACGGTAAGCTGTGCTGCTCCTGCATCACCTGTTACTGCCAGACCAGCCGCTGCTCACCAACAGCTCAGAGTTCGTGTCCTCTGTCTTTCTCCTGGCATTTGGGAGAATAGTTTTCTCCAACCCCTGGCGCCTTTAAACCGAGCCCACAGAGCAGACTGGAGAGTGGGGCTCTACAGAGCACGGCTATTGGAGATGTGACATCCCCAACCCACCTTTCCGATTTACACAGAACACAGAGAGTGTGTCTGGGATACGTCGGGGGTGGAGAATGAGAATTGGCTCCAACATCTAAGCGCCAGGCGGTAGATTTAAACAGAATAACCTTTAAAAAAGGTGTGTGTGTGAGAGAGAAAGAAAGAAAGAAAGGGGAACCACACACAGGCGCGCACAGAAACAGACAGGAACAAACCGACACACAGACACAGAGTCCGAGTCGGTGAAGTGGAGGAAGTGGAAAATACGAACCCACATACTTTGGTTAAATTCGGGGCTAGGTCGGGAGCGGTGCCTGCACTCGCTTAATCCCTGATCCGGGAGCACTCCCCCAGGATTGGAAGTAGTTAGAGATCGGGTTCTTCTCAAAACACAAGAAAACCTACTTATTAAGAATAGGCTTACGTTAAATGTAAATTCCCTTTTCAAAAAAAAAGTTTATTAAAGTAACCCCGGGTGAGAATCGCTTAGCTGTATTCTTTAAGCCTATCGCCATCACTGACCTCTCCTGGTCCGTTTCCCTCGGTTATTCAGGCTGTGCCCATAATCCACACAGTTTAGAAGAACGAGCGCAAGTGAAACGAGTCGAAAATGCATCTGTGCTTCTGGGATGTGGGGAGGAAGCAGACTGCACGCTCGTGGATGTCTCTGAGTCTCTCACTCTGCCTGTGCGGCTTGGCTTGGAATGGGAGGTCGGACAGGTCCAACTAACAACACAGATGATGATGATGATGATGAAGATGATGCTGAAGAAGAAAAAGAAGAAACAGCAGCACCTATTCTAGCTACCAGCCAGATCTGAGCTTCAGAGAGAGAGAGAGAGAAAGGGGCAGAATCTGCTTGCCCTGCTCTCACACCGGGAACCAGAAAGTCGGCAATCTGACAATTTGCAGTCTCCACATCTTCAGAGCAGCAAGGCGGAACTCAATCCCAAAGCTCTAGAGAAGGAGACACAAGTCATACGATAACGAGCTATCAATAATCACATTAAACTCTCATTTACATCATCGATGAACAAACTAGATTCTAACCAGGAACAGCCACCCCTCAAAAATCTGTTTCTGAATTTCTACAAAAAAGGAGACCCGAGATTAATGCCCCGAAGCAGGATTGTTTTAAAACAAAGAGAAATTCAGGAGCGAAGAGAAAATCTATTGCAATTGAGTCAAGAAATCAGTTTCAACTTAATTACCTCGAGAAGTGATCAGAGCAACACTTTGTCCTGTCAGCTTTTCAAATCAACCGGTACATGAAGTGTGTGTGACACATACTGCAGGACATGATCCCATGGAAACTAAAGTTGCTTCTGTCTATTAAAGCGTAGTCCGGAGGTTTTGCCCTGTCTCCAGATAGTGCTCAGTGAGATCGGACTGCACTCAGTCAACTACCTTCTCTCCCCAGATGATGCTTCAGTCCCCTCCTCTTGTAACCGTTCCACGGATGACGCTCCGAGCTGTGGTACAAGGAATTCAGGGAGGAGGGCAGAGACAGAGCCAAACGCTCCTATTTTTTCTTGCAAGGTGCAAATTGGATTGAGAGCTAACAGGGGGTGCTGTACTCACACCACACCAAGCTGGCAGCAGATCTGCCTGCTTCCTTCCCTTCCGCGGGTCCTACCGCCGGCAATGGTCAAGTGCTCACACAGACAATAAAAACCCTTCCATTTCTCTCATTCCCCCCGCCCCAAAGCTGCGCTTCCGCAGGCATGGAAGCGACACGTTATTTCCAGAAAGAAGGGTCACCGGACCCGAAACGTTAATTCTGTATTTTTTACTTCAAAGATGCTGCCAGACCTGCTGAGATTTTCCAGCAACTTTGTTTTTGTTCCTGATTTACAGCATCTGCAGTTCTTTCGATTTTTGTTACGTTATTCCAATTATTAATCTTTAAACAAATGTGACAGTTAGAAAGTGACATCGTCCCAAGATAAGAGCCGTTAAAATAGGTATTCTAAAGAAAGGTTAAAAGTGAATTTTAAATTTAATTTCTATTTAATAGCAAGCAGCTGATTAATGAATAAATCTGGAACTGTGTATACAGATTTGAAATATCTGGAACTGTGCACATGGATCAGCATTTGAATTATCTGGAACTCCTTGTACGTGGATCAAGAATTGAATAATCTAATGCACATGCAGGTCAAAATTTGAAAAAGCTGGAACTGTGTGACTATAGAATAACCTGCAACTCTGCATACAAAGATCAAAGATTTGATCAGCCTGGGACTGTGTGTACATAATTCCCGATTTGAAACTGATACAGAACTGAGTAGATACAGACCAGAATCAGAACAACCTGGATCTGTGTGTATGCAAATCAGGATTTGAATAACCTGTAACTATGTGCATGTGAATTGGGATTTGAATAATCTGGAACTGTTACTACTTTTTCAATTCAACCTGTTTTTTCTAAACAACCAGATTCAGAGATGTTATTACACACCTCTGGAGCAGGTGGAACTTGAACCCAGGCCTCCTGGTCCAGAGGTAGAGAGTCTACATAAGAGGGCCCTTTGGAACTGTTATAAAGCAAGCTATTAAAGAAGTTATTATGTTACTTGATTAATTAATTGACTGGGTAGATATAAAGGGGAACAGGTGTGTCAAACGTACCATCAGACTGAATAGTTAATAAACTCTATCCAGGAAAAAATGTCTTTGCTTCTATTTCACCACTGCCTTGGATCCCAATGTTAGTGGTAGACTTTGGTTGCGGAATGATGAAAATTGAAAACTAAAAGTTCAGCCCTGCAGGAGGGGGAAGGACATTTATTTAGTCTGAGATTTCAGAGAAAATTTGATGAATCTCTCAGCATTCTATCAGGCCATCAGAAATAAATTTCAATTTGGGGTCATGACAGATTACAAACGGGCAGAATACTTTGGGTAAGTTTATAGATAGTGATGGAACAGCATTGCAATCAAACTGTTAGGGTGCATTCCTTATGTACTTACAGAAGCTGAACACATCATAGAAAGTGATGAGACACCATACACTTCCCACACACATACAGAGTCAAAGAGTAATATGGCATGGAAACAGACCCTTTGGTCCAACTCATCTGCGCAGACCAGACATCCCAATTTGACCTAGTCCCACTTGCCCATATCATTTGGCCCATATCATTCCAAACACTTCCTGTTCATATACCCAGCCAGATGCCTTTTAAACGTTGTAATTGTACCCTCCTCCACCTGAGTTCTGGCAACTATTTCCATATAAACACCACACATTGCATGAAAAAGTTAGTCTTCAAGTCTTTTCCAAATCTTTCCCCTCTCACCTTAAACCTATGTCCTCTCATTTTGGACTCCCCTACACTGGGAAAAAGATCTTGGCTATTCACCTTATTCATGGCCCTTACGATTTATTCAATCTCTACAAGGTCATCTACAGGGCGATTAATTTTGGAAGGTCAAGTTTGAATGCAGAATACTGGGTTAATGGCAGGATTTTTGGCAGTGTGAAGGAACAGAGGGATCTTGGGGTCCACATCCATAGATCCCTCAAAGTTGCTAGCCAAGTTGATAGAGTTGTTAAGAAGGCATATGGTGTGTTGGCTTTCATTGGCAGGGGAATTGAGTTCAAGAGCTGTGAGGTTATGCTGCAGCTCTACAAAACCCTGGTTAGACCACACTTGGAATATTGTGTTCAGTTCTGGTCACCTCATTATAGGAAGGATATGGAAGCTTTAGAGAGGGTGTGGAGGAGATTTACCAGGATGCTGCCTAGACTGGAGGGCAGGTCTTATGAAGAAAGGTTGAGGAAGCTAGGGCTTTTCTCATTGGAACGAAGAAGGATGAGAGGTGACTTGATAGAGGTTTACAAGATGATGAGAGGCATAGGTAGAGTGGATAGTCAGAGACTTTTCCCTGTGGCGGAAATGACTATTATGAGGGAGCATAATTTTAAGGGGATTGGAGGAAGGAATAGGGGAGATGTCAGAGGTAGGTTCTTTACACAGAGAGTGGTGGGCATGTGGAATGCGCTGCCAGCAGTGGTAGTGGAGTCAGATACTTTAGAGACTTTTAAGCGACTCTTGGATAGGCACATGGAGGATAGTAAAATGTAGGCTATGCAGGGTAGATTGATCTTAGTAGGATAATAGGTTGGCACAACATTGTGGGCTGAAGGGCCTGTACTGTGCTGTACTGTTCTATGTTATGTTCTATGTTCTATGTTATAGAACATAGAACATAGAACAGTACAACACAGTACAGGTCCTTCGGCCCACGATGTTGTGCTGAACTTTTACCCTAAACCTAAGGTCTATCTAACCTCCACCCCTACCTTATACTATCATCCATATGCCTATCTAATAGCTGCTTAAATGCCCCTAATGAGGCCGACTCCACTACCCTCTCCGGCAATGCATTCCACGCCCCTACCACTCTCTGAATAAAGAACCTACCTCTGACGTCTCCCCTATATCTACCTCCATTGACTTCAAAATTATGCCCCCTCGTAATAGCTATCTCTACCCTAGGAAAAAGTCTCTGGCTGTCCACTCTATCTATACCTCTGATCATTTGTTCTATGTTATCCCTCAGTGTCTGATATTCCAGGGAGAAAAGCCCCAGCCTATTCAACCTCTTCCAATAACTCAAATCCTCCAGTCCTGGCAGCATCTTTGTAAATCTTTTCTGTACTGTCTCAAGTTTAACAACATCCTCCCTATAGAAGGGAGACCAGAATTGTTCGCAGTATCCCAAAAGTGGCCTCACCAATGTCCTGTACAACCATGACATGACATCCCAACTCCTATGTTCAATGTTCTGACCAATGAAGGCAAGCACGTTGCACAATTTTGACGACCATATCATAGAATCCCTACAGCTTGTCAAGATCAAGAATGATGGAAAAGACTGGGACTATCACAAGAAATAGAAGCCGTTATGATTGAGATGTTTACTGGTTACTAACAAATTAGAAGCTATGTTGATAAAGAGTGCCAAACAAAAAGAGTTGACCAGCTAGAAAGAATTTGGCGTATAAACTGAAGTACCAGATTGGGGACAGCCAACATTATCATAATATGTGGATAACCACTCTCTTTGGGATAATGTACATTCAACAAAGGGCATCACTGAGAAAAGTTTGGGGGATGACATATTTTGACAATACACAAAGAGGGACACCTGGTGGTATAAGGAGTTACAAGAACATGATGAAAAAAGGTCAATTTATGTTTGGGTTGGTTTTTGATTAAACTTTTCTTTTGTTTGAAGAAGTGAGAATACAGAAAGTTGAATATTATATGGAACATTGTAAAAACATTTAATACTGACCATTGTATTATAAAGAAAGATATAGAATATTAAAAATCATTTGTTTAATCTTTACCTTTTGTTCAAGGTTTGTATGTCTTCAAAGTTTTATGTAAGGAGAATAATGGAAGCTGTTAATATGGCAGGTTGTTAAGCAGGTGTTTATGTTAATTGACTAATTAATTGCAGGGGTAGATATAAAGAGGGAACAATTGGGACTGGGTGTGCAGAAAGAACTATAAGAATGAATAGTTAATAAACTCTATCCAATAACAGAAGTATTTTAGTTTATGCTTCACTGACTGGCTTGGATCTGAAATGGCAGTGTGGGAGCAGGATTTGAATAATTTGGAAACACACGTACATGGTTCAGATTTAGAATAAAGCCTTATGTTCCAAAACAAGCCATACCCTTAACTGTAGTACACCTACAGCACTGGCATCTAACCATCAATATGGAAAATTGCCCAGGTATGCCTTGTCCACAACCAGCAGGACTAATCCAACCACCTCATCAGTCACTGTTGATCATCAGCAAAATGATGGCAGTGATCATTGACTGTGTAATCAAGCAGTCTTTACATGCTACTAACCTAATCACTGACACTCAGTTTGTTTTCCACCACAGCTACTTAGTTCCTGACATTATTGATGCCTTGGTCCAAACATGGACAAAAGACCAAAATTCCAGAATTGAGTTGAGAGTGATGGTCGCATCAAGGCACCCATAGCAAAACTGATCAATGGAAATTAGGGAGAAAACTCCCCATTAGCTTGATTTATATCAAGAGCAAAGGAAGATGATTGTTGGTTTTGGACGCCAATCACCTCATCATTGCAAGGTCAGGTTAATGTTCTAGGCCTAAGTGTGGATAGCAAGAAGCTTTTTCCCAGAGTGGGAGACTCAATTACTAAGGGTCACGATTTCAAGGTGATAGGGGAAAAGTTTAAGGGACATATGTGTGGAAAGTTCTTTAAGCAGAGGGTGGTGGGTCCCTGGAACGCATTGCCAGTGGTGGTGGTAGAGGCGGGCACAATAGCATCATTTAAGATGTATCTAGACAGATACATGAATGGGCAGGGAGCAGAGGGATACAGATCCTTGGAAAATAG